CCATTAGTGCTTAGTTAGTGTATATGTCCAAGGTTATTATCAGTATTTTATAATTGATTAACACCAATTGTCTCCCCCTTTGCACCCATAGGTAAGGCGAGTCGAGACGCCTTTTTCCGGTCGGTGGCCGCCGAGAACGAGTCGGTACGGGTGCTGTCGTACGCTCCGGGACCTCTTGAGACCAATATGTTGGACATATTGCGCACCGATGGCTATCTGTGCGAAGAGTTCGCCAAAGTGGATGTCCTGAAGCCGGAGACCACGTGCCGTAAACTCATACACATTCTGGAGGCCAATAGGTTTGCCAGCGGTGATCACGTCGACTATTATGAGCCCATTTCGCCATAAAGTGGCCGATTGTCTGCTTCGAGAGCGTAACAAAAACACATGTTTATGTCCAGAGCTTATCTGTTGTACGCACACACGGCTGGCCAACACATACCTGTCCTTTTGGGGGTTCAAATGGCCGGCTGTTGCCGTCGTTTATGCACTAATTTTTGATATTTTTAATTAATTTTGCTTTTAATTGTATTATGTATTTTTTGTGCCCTCTCTATTCATTGTATTAACTTTTATACTGGAAATAGCTAGAGGTTTGAACCTCCCGGTGCTTTATTGGGTTACCAATATGAATACCAAAATTTTGTTTTAATTTTAGCTTTATTATACACTTATATCTAGTTCATTTAGGTTCTGGTTTAATCTAGTTTATTCTAAATTTGTCTATTGATTCTCACATTTATTATGCTTTAATTTTTATCTTTTTATTTACATTTAATTTTAATGATTGAATTTCAGTCTAATTTGTCTATGAATTTATAATCTACTGCTCTCTATAGTGAACATCCTATTAAGTTAACTATAATTATGTTCACAATATATTTTTGTTGTTATATTTGTTTATTTTTTATGCACTTTATTATTTATGGGTTATTTATTATTTATAAATTATAATGCAATTAACAAAATTTTATATCAAACAATACATATATATTTAATTATTTAAAGATTATATTTAATTAACATTTTACACAATAAATGAGATTCAAAATCACATTAAAAGTAATTATTTTTACAATTAAACCCAATTATCAAAGCATCACTTATTACAATAATTATGTTTAATGCGCGCATTTCAGTGTACATTATAGCGAAAGTACACTATTAGACCAGATATAAGAGTATTGTGCCCTTTGGTTACATCGAGAGTACACTATACAGACATGACTTGGTATATAAAAAACAATTAAAAACAAGACTTAATTATAACAAATTCGTAGACACTATCGCCTACTGATGGGCGGACCCACCAAATGCTTGATATACTGGGGTTTAATCAACAGATCCGCTCTCACGAGACAGTCGGCCACAAACGGGTGCCGAAGAGCTTCATCGGCGGTCAGCCTATCCTTATAGACGCAGAGTTTGGCCATCAGATCGACGGCCAGGGGCTGACCCCTACACCGCCTCTCAATCTTCCGGAGCCACATATCTCTGACACTTCTGTCGTCGCTAACAGTGAACTGAATCTTACGAAAGTCGGGCAACTCGTCGGCCCACTCGGGCGGCGGCGCCCCCAACGCCTGCACCACTCGGGAGAGCTGCTCGATGTCGGACTCGCCCTTAAACAGTGGCCACCGCTGAAGCATTTCGCCCACAATACACCCGACGGACCACATGTCCACAGTGTAGCCGTAATGGTCGGCACCGTATAGCAGTTCCGGGCACCGGTACCATCGGGTGCACACCTGGTGCGATAGGCACGGGTTATCTTCATCGGCGGTCAGCATCGGATCCCTACTATGGGTGGCGCTGGCGTTACCGCTGTCTACTTCTGGTGGTTCTCCATCTGCGGTCAATTGGCCGTTGGCCGGCAGGGCTCGCGCCTGACCGAAGTCGCATATCTTCAACACACCGGACCAGTCGATGAGCAGATTACTGGGCTTGAGATCGCGGTGCACAATGCCGTTGCTGTGACAGTGCTGTACTCCGGCCAACAGTTGTCGTACGTAACACTGGCACTGGTCGTCGGTGAGCGCCGGCCCGTCGTATATCACGGTTGTCATGTTCACAGGCAATAGCGGGAACACCAGGTTTACCGACGAACCAAACGCGAACACGTCTTCCAATAGGATTATCTATTTTGGAGTCATATTGTAAGTGTCATTATTAACTTTTTATCTAGCTACTTTGCATAGTAACATTATAGGTGTATAATCTGAAGGGGGGTAGAGGGGGGGGGTTTGACCTACTTTTATGCTTTACAGTAGTGTGTAATTCAACACTTGTTTGATTGAAAACTTGTAAACATAATGTAATTAATTTTTCATGTCGAGTGTTAATCAAATAGAGCACCTGTACCTCCATCACTGATTATGGTGCACGTGGTGTATAAATCTAATTTAACCTTGGTTATTTTTTTAGTGTTTGCAAAATACCTTTCAAAAATTTTAACAGCTATGATATGGCAGTATTTTTACATCGATTAAAAATTTAAATCATAAAAACACAGATAACATGAATCATATTTTTGTGTTCAATAAAATTAAATATTACTGAAAGGTAAAATTAAATCGAAACACACATGGACATTATTCTTGTTAATAATTAACTGTTACATTATTAATTAATTATGAACATGAACAAAAAAATGCTTATAAAATCACGATTCTTAGTATTAATATTTAAGAATTTGCTGTAAAACAAATATAACACTACACTGCAATCTAACCCCAACCATGGTAAAACTAACTATCACTAATAAATCCAAACTCGTGGTCACACATACGGGTGTGATATCACACTTACATTGTCATCGCTGCGGAGGAATTGCAGACATTTAATCTCCCGTACGATCGACAGCGGGATTGTCTTATTGCGGATGAAAATGCGTTTAATGGCCAACAGATACTTGTCGGGGATGTCCTCGTCGGCCGTCTTGTCGGCCACACTGGCGTACGTGCCCTTCAGTATGACTCCGTGGGCACCGGCGCTCATGTGACTCATTATCCGATACCTGTCCATAATATCCCAGTGTATGTCAGACCAAACGTGTAGACAATATCACAGACAATAGACTTTTAAATACTGAAAATTTTCGGTATATATTATCGATGACTACTTGTATTCACTGACGGAGTGATAATTGTATTCAAAAAAATATACACACATTATATACAAGACATTTCTTGAGACACACGACAGACTCTGTGAATAAAACAAAAAACAAAGTTATAATCATATCGTTGTCATTGTCTTACTGTCGGCACAGATATATTTAAAAAACTAGTTTTGTCACCAGAAATATCAATTAAAGTCAATTAAAGTGTTTAATAATTACTGAAAATGTATTTTTGATTATACTTTTTGATGTTTTTCGATGTGCATTATTATCGTTATGCAAAAACACCGATCCGTTTCGTTGAATACACACTGTTTTGCATAGAGTTTTGCATTGCAATTGGCATTACATTTATTACACACATAGTATACCTGTGTGTAGACAGCCATGTATTGTAAGGTGTATACCTGTGTCGGCTACCTGTGCTGCTTATGCAGCTAACGGTGATTTGTATGAATGTGTTTTTAGTGTTAAATATTATATGAAATACAAAAAAACATACAAAACATTATTATTATTGAATTCAATGACAAGAATTTTATACCTGTATTAATGAAACAAAATATTGTATTTCTATGGAAACCAATGTTAGGGAAAATATAATTGTGTCTCGTTTTAATATATTTGGGACAAACACTGTATTAATACATAGTAAACACTGAACTACATACAGTATTCAGTATTAAAGTGCTAGGTTATTCTCATTATTGCTCTCTCTCTCTCTCTCTCTCTCTCTCTCTCTCTCAATCCCGGGGCCCTCCTATGGCTAAACACTATTACATTGTATATGCAATGCATTTGGAAAACAGTATTTTCATGATTAGAAATAATAATAATCTAATGATTGAATACAAAACTACATGTATTTCTATATTCCGTATGGGATTTCGTTGAGGGAACTAATGGTGCGCCCGATTGGCTCTCGACATCCAAACGCACACAAGTTATGCGTGTATTTCAATGATATTATTGTCTATTTATATGCAGTGCCCATAGACTCACCTGTGCCACAGAAAAATAGGTTTATATTTACATATTTTCATGTATGTTATGCTAAACTGAATGTTTAGTAAACATCCAGAATCTAATTTGAATTATATTTGTATGTATTTTTCGCGTGAATTCATTGCACGGGTAGGGAGTAATGGATATAACAATGGGATTTGGATTTGCATTTATAAGACCTGTTAAAGTAGTTATGAGGAACTCGAGAGAGAGAGAGAGAGAGAGAGAGAGATTGAAGTTTAAGAAATCTCTCTCTCTCTCTCTCTCTCTCTCTCTCTCTCTCGAGTTCCTCATAACTACTTTAACTTCTTATAAATGCAAATCCAAATCCCATTGTTATATCCATTACTCCCTACCTGTGCAATGAATTCACGCGAAAAATACATATAAATATAATTCAAATTAGATTCTGGATGTTTACTAAACATTCAGTTTAGCATAACATAGATGTAAATATGTAAATATAAACCTATTTTTCTGTGGCACAGGTGAGTCTATGGGCACTGCATATAAATAGACAATAATATCATAGAAATACACGCATAACTTGTGTGCTTTTGGATGTCGAGAGCCAATCGGGCACAACATTAGTTCCCTCAACGAAATCTCATACGGAATATACAAATACATGCAGTTTTGTATTCAATCATTAGATTATTATTATTTCTAATCATGAAAATACTGTTTTCAAAATGCATTGCATATACAATGTAATAGTGTTTAGCCATAGGAGGGCCCCGGGATTGAGAGAGAGTTGACTGATATAGTGGACACATATAGACACTGGCCATAGCCCGGGGCAGCACCTGATGACTCGTCTCTGATAACGAACCACAGATAGTCATCCCATGGGCTGACAATACCTGAGCCCAGAGATACCACTACACGATTGATGCCATGGCTATAGACATGGAGATTGAAAATGCAATTTTTGACTTAAATAATTTGTGTGGTTTTTCAGAGGCCATACATCGAGGAGTCTCTCTCCACACCACCCGCTGTTTGGGCACTGGATTTATACACTGGACTGACAGCGCGTTTTATGGGGTTTTACTATCCATTAACTCTCAATGTGTTCAATGCTATGGATTTATGGATGAGTTTTCGCTCTCTGTTAGCAAAAACTAATCAATAGATTGAAAAGTTTTGAGTCTTTAGACAAAACATTAATTGATTTTTGTTTGGTTAGGAGACCCGATCTCTCTCTCTCTCTCTCTCTCGAAATCGGAATTCATTTTAAATGCAAATAAACTTATGGTAGTCAACAATCCGACGCTAATTGTAAACCAATTAAACAGAAATCAATACATTTATATAAAATGCTTGTATCAATTAAACTTATCTATGTGACAAATTAATCAGTGGCGATAGAAGTTACATAAATAAATATAATAAATTGCCCTATAAACTTTATTTATCTAGTAAAATTTTCCAAAGTTTGCATTAACATAAGTTATGTTACATAACCAAATAAATAACAAACTTATTAACACATTGTGTTTCATGGGTTCCTTATGGACACTAAACCAATGGTCACCTTAAAAGAGGTTCACTATAACGGGTGTTCACAAACTATGGATGGCGAGTAAATGGCGGGTCTAAGAGTCGCGGGGTTCGGGTTATACAGTACACAGTATATGTCTGGATGTTATGAAGCGAACACTTCAGATGTCGCATACGAGAGAGCTATAGTGAGAAAGAGAGCCATCGAGAGAGCGCTGGTATGTGTCCAGAGATACAGATAGGGATCAGTTGGGAGAGAGGTATAGGGGAGAGACTGGCGCTCACGGCTATCCAACTAAAACTCTACGGGGGATTAGTTAGGGAGAGAGGGAGAGATGGCAACATACATGGTATATCATAGCATTGCGCACACTCTACAGCACACATTGGCCTGTGGTATGTGTGTGAGGGGAGAGGGACTGGTATAAGAGCACTGGTATCTCAACAGTTAAGCTATCTATTGGTATGGAGAGCACCGATCGCTGAGAAACCCATACATCCAGTCTATCGCTTGCATTGCTATACAAACACAGTGTTGTATGTGTTGTATAAAAGTGATGCCAACAACCAAACCACACATCAGTTTATGTGTGTCTCTCTCGCCGGACAGACATGTGATGATAATTGTATCGTAAATCCAGTTATTATAATACATTGCCATTCAATTCAATGGTCAATACATATATCTATAAACCATATTATGATTAAGTGATTGTAAAAGTTTTTTGTTGTTTTGGTTTAACGCAAACAAAAGTTGTGTGTATTTTATAAAGTGAGGGAAAAAAACTTGCAAAAACTTTTTTCCCATACATTTTCAATGGACTACAAGAAAAAACTTCACTAAAGCTTTAACTCAAAAGTAAAGCAAAAGCTTTGGGACTTAACCCACGGATTGTCAAAACCCAAAACAACCCAAAAAACACCAGAAAACATGGTTTCAACACAAGTACTAACTATACTAACCGTACAAACAATACTGCTATTAACGGGCGGCACATCATCGGCCGCGCCGGGCGTCGACAGTGTGCGCCAATGCGAGCCCATACGGATCGACATGTGTCGGGGGCTGGGCTACAACGTGACGGGTATGCCGAACATGGTGGGCCACGAGTTGCAGCAAGATGCCGAACTACAGCTCCAGACATTCACACCACTCATCCAATACGGCTGTTCATCGCAACTGCGGTTTTTCCTGTGCGCTGTCTATACGCCCATGTGTACGGACAAAGTGCCCATCTCCATCGGCCCGTGTCGACCCCTATGCGAAGCGGTGCGGCACCGGTGCCAACCCGTGCTCCAGGAGTTTGGCTTTCCCTGGCCGGCGGCCCTCAACTGTAGCAAATTCCCGCTGGAGAACAACCACCAGCACATGTGTATGGAGGGCCCGGAGCCCGAACAACACGAACGACTGCCCAAATACCCGCCGACAGCTGTCATGCCTACCGGCGCTGGCGGTGGTGGACAGGGAGGCAGTGGTGGTGGTGGTGGTAGGGGTCATAATCCCCGCCGTAATAAGCCTAATAAACACCATAAGCCGTCTAATCAGCCGGCAATCGATGGCCAATCACGCGGTGGTGTTAGCGGTGGGGTTGTCAACGGCGGCGGTGGCGGTCCGTCGATCGTGTCGGTGCCCAACGGGTATCCACTACTGCCGGGCGGCGGCGTTTCCGGACTCCTGCCGCCTCCTGTGGACCCGTCGGTGGCCCGAAAACATCACTACAACCTCTGTTTGGACTATAAATACTTCGATCAGTACTACTATATCAACCGCACCGAGAGGTGTGCCCACAACTGCTCGGCCGACATCCTGTTCACCGCCGACAACAAACACTTTGCCAGCATATGGACAGGCAGTTGGGCCGCCCTATGCCTGCTGAGCACCCTATTCACGATCAGCACATTCCTGGTCGACTCGCAACGGTTCCGCTACCCGGAGCGGGCCATCATATTCTTGGCCGCCAACTACTGTCTCTACTCCATGGCCTACATCTACCGGCTGTTGGCCGGCCGTCAAGACGTGAGCTGTCACGTGGACTCCCAACACAACGTACCGGTGCTCATACAGGAGGGCCTGGACAATGTCAACTGTACCATCATATTCGTGTTGCTGTACTTCTTCGGTATGGCCGCAATGGTCTGGTGGCTAGTGTTGGCGCTCACGTGGTTCTTGGCCACGGCGTGCCAGTGGTCGCCCGATAGGATCGACAGCAAATACACCGCCTATCACTTGGCCGCGTGGATACTGCCGGCCCTCAAGACAATTGCCATTCTAGTGATGCGTGTGGTGGACGCCGATGAGCTGACCGGCACCTGCTATGTGGGCAATCAGTCACTGTCCACGTTGTTATACTTTGTGATCGTGCCCTCAGCGGCGTATCTCACGCTCGGCCTACTGTTTCTCATCGTTGGGTTGCTGTACAAAGTGTTGGGCACCGAACGCCCGATTTGTCACACGTGTATTATACCCGCGGCCGGTCGGGTGAGACACGGCTCCCAACACTCGGCACTCACCGCCAGTTCCCATCACACAAACCCGCATCCGTTGCTGTTGTCCGGCGGCCCGACACCAGTGGTGGCCACAGCCAACAGTTGTTGCTATAGTAACAAAAGCGGTGTCAGCGGAGTCGGGTGTCAATCGGTGGCCACCACTGGTGGTCACCAGTCGTCGGAAAAGCTGTCGCCACCCATGTATCGGATGGCGCTGTTCGCGCTGACCTACACAGTGCCCGCCGGTTGGGTGTTGGGCACCAATATCTACGAGTACTGGTGGCGCAACTCGTGGTACCTGTTGTCTGCCGGCGAGCTATAGTAACAAAAGCGGTGTCAGTGGCGTCGGGTGTCAATCGGTGGCCACCACTGGTGGTCACCAGTCGTCGGAAAAGCTGTCGCCACCCATGTATCGGATGGCGCTGTTCGCGCTGACCTACACCGTGCCGGCCGGTTGGGTGTTGGGCACCAATATCTACGAGTACTGGTGGCGCAACTCGTGGTACCTGTTGTCTGCCGGCGCGGCCAACGAGCGGCCCAACGTCGAGATATTCACGCTGAAGATCTTCATGTCGCTCGTGATTGGGATCAAGACAGGGCTCTGGATGTGGTCATCGAAGGCGCCGTTCCGCACGTGGCGTAAAGTTGGCAAACGCCTGGTGCAAAAGAAACAGCCCTTGCCCATTTACCTCCAGGGCACTAATGGTGGTCTGGGCGCCCATAAACAGGCCCTACTCGTCGGTAATGGTCACGCGGGCGGTGGCAGTGGTAAACGACCGAGAGTTAAGGGCAATGGCAACGAGACAGCCGTATGACTGCTGGACTGAATCGGGTGCTCACCATTTGACTGACCCTCATGTATATATATTTATACTCATGATCTATAGAGTAGATCCCATACCAATTCGCCCGATCCATGACCAGCGCCGGTATGTTTTGTTGTTTTTATTGATAATGTTTTTTGTTGTTTTGTGAACACAAATGATCGGTTAATTTGATTGAATTGTTAGTTATATTTTGATGTGAATTAATAGTGAAATGAATTTTTCTCTGTTTTTTGTATAAATTTATTTATGAAATGATTTTCTCTATAATTTCGATGAAAATATTAATTCAAATTTACTTATGTTTAGCAAAAAATTGATTATTGATAAGCACTGCAAAACACAAACACAAAATTTTATCAATCACATTTTTAACTATACATATTTAACTATATTATATAAATAACAGTACATGTGTTGTAAATTATGTATAAATTATATTTGTAATTAATTTAAATCTATATTTAATACATTTATACAGTGATAAAAAAGTCAATGAATTTTTTATGTTTTTGTGAGCTTTGACTTAGTTTTTATGATTAGGCTTTGAATTGAATTTTTTAATTTAAAATTGCATTTATAATCAAAAACTAATACAAATTTTTATTATCAATATTATTAAAATTAATGCATTTAATGACACTTTTATTTGATGTATGTATTTATGACATTTAAATAGATATAAACTTTTTATTGGTTTACTTTAATCATAGATTTTTGATTGAAAATCACGGTCTCATTCATTGACAAAATTCATGTGTTTTTGACATTAAATTTTTGTGGAAATTTAAAAATGTAAAATAACTTATGTATTGATGTTTTTCAAACACGTTGTAAATTCATTGCATTAAATAATAATTAATTAATATATTTAAATATATAAATATT